GTTTTTCCTCTCCATCATTTGCTCAGGATGGGAGACTGTGATGAAGTTATTCAACGCAGCCTGCTGGTTTCTTCTTTAGATTGTTCTTTTTATGTACAGTGCCCTGAGACAACGTATGTTGTGACTTGACATTATGTAAATAAACTGAATTGAATTGAATTGAGTTGAATTGAATGCTTTATTTCAGAACCACATCTGACACTTGTGGCAGTCAGRAAGGGGGAGATGGTGCGGGTGGGTGGTGTAGTGGTGCACGACTGCTCTTCTTCTGAATAAATGAAAACTATGTAACACAGTTGTGAACACTTAAATTAAAAATATTTGACCAAAGAAAAACTGGCGCATGACTAGAGAGATGAATATGGTTTAGATTTTTATTTCTGTGTCTGTACCCACAGGAGACACAACATTAACAGCAGTCATCATTTCATTCCTTGAGTTTAGCAGGTCTGATGCTGCTAAAAATGACTTTCCTGGATCTCTGAGAGTAGGATCTCTGAACTCGTAAAGTTCTTCTATTTTACTTTGCGATTTCATTTATGAAAGGACACTTCCTGGAATGTGGGGCAGGAAACGTAGCCTTATATGGTGTTTTTGGGGAGGTAGATTATGCTAATCACCTCTCCCCGTGCACGAGCACCTGATACGCATTCATCAGTTTACACAGCTCATTTACACACTTTTCCTGAAAACAGAAGAGTTTGTTGAATCTGATGTGGTATGTTTGTACGAACCCTTCATACGAACAAAAGTAAGAGAAATTTAGAATAAGAATATGAACGTGTTCTTCCATGAGGCCCAATGGGTCTAAGTTTATCTTCAAACTGTCTCAGTTCTGCTAAACTCAACAGTGTTGTTTTGTCATCATTTTATAAATAGAGGCCCCAGAAGTCCTATGGGGAATGTATATGACCCGCTGCTTTTCTACCAGACTTTTATACTAAGATGAATATGTTGAGAAATGCTCAATTTGACATAACATAATGGAAGATCTGTGTTTTCATGTGCGAGATCGGTTAACACTCAAGAGTAAGTGTTGTAGGTGACTCTCAGCTACTACCACATCTGATTAGTACTTTAGTACTGTACTGAGTTAGATTTTTGCTCAGCTGTCTTAAATTAAGTTAGTCAATCAAAGACTAAAAGGGTCAGTAAACACACSCAGTGGTTGACGAGGTGTTTTGAGTCAGATGAAGTCACCACAATGTTCCTCTGTGCAGCTTTTAAGGACTTTTTAAAGCAGAGCTGATGGATCACTCCAAAGAAGTTAAACCCAACTGTCTCTGCAGTCCTCATTTCTCTCTGTAATATTAACAACCTTCACATTGAAAGGCTCTGACTGTGCAGAGTTTTACTGTAATAATCAGTTATCACATTACAGCTGCAGCGCATAATATGGGTGTGATTATAACAAATTCTGTGTCTGCCGTCAATTATGACACAAGTACYGAAGAAAATTGGGCCAGACTTGAAAATCACCTAATTTTCCCTCAAAAAATAAAACCTTTTCATGCAAGTACTCTGGTTAAAAAAAACCAACAACGCTAAATCGAAGCAGGAAGATTTCATCTGAAAACAAACGTCTCTGTGGTTCAAACAGATAAGATCAGTGCAGCTCCAAATAATCAACACTTTAAAGAAAAAAAATTCTGCCATCAGCTTATGCGCTTTGGATTAAAATAATATCTAACATTCAACCAGCACATTCAGGAGAGGGACAGGATTACCATCAAATGTTTCTATTTTTCTTAAACAAAATGATTTGATCAATATGTGGTTCATTCAGAGTCTCATTTTAAACACAACATAGGAGATGATCTGTTTGGGTGGACCCTGTTGATGCTGGCAGGCGTCAGGAACCAGGAGGTCAAGTTCAAAGCCAAGACACAAGTCTTCTGAACTGGGGGACAGTTTCAGATCTGAAATATGTTGGTCCTGCTGAGGAAGAGCCTTTCACCTGAACATGAAGTGCTTTTGAGGCTTGACTGTCCAGTGCTGGATTCAGTAAACATGGTTGTCATACGCACATACACAAACACACACACACACACACACACACACACACACACACACA